GGATCGTTGCAGGACTCTCCTTCGGGATTCCCTCCTCCATCTCCCATTCTGAGGCTCAGCCCCTGCTTGCACCGGAGCCTTGAGGGGCTGAACGAGGAACTGGAGGGAGTGTTTGTGAAAGAACAGGGAGACGAAGAGCTTCTGAGGGTGAGTGAACAGCACTAGAACACTGTCCTGGCCTCCCAGGTGGTCTCTTCTGAGGACATTGCCCCATCTGTCTTGGCAGTGGGGACAGTCTGCATGTCTCGTTTCATTTTGTACGATACATTTTTGGGCTTCCCCCCTTTCAAATCCTGTTGGGAGAGGTGAGTGGTAACATCAGGATGAGGACACCTCATGGACAGCCATAAGGTGCCGTATTGGACTGGCATCCAGAGGCTTCTCTGCACCGTGTGGATATGGAGAGATGGTCCCAGGTGGCCCGTGAAAATCCTGATGGGAGAGGTGAGTGGTAACATCAGGACGAGGACACCTCATGGACGGCCATAAGGTGCCATATAGGACTGGCATCCAGAGGCTTCTCTGCACCGTGTGGATATGGAGAGATGGTCCCAGGTGGCCCGTGGAGCTCTGTGTGCTGCTGAGGGGCTCCTCGGAGGCTGAGCTTGTGTTGGGACCCAGCACCTGCAGGAGCTGCTCTCTGCTCCCCTCCCTGCCCAGCTGCCTCTGCCGCATCATGAGCCCTCCCTGTCCAGCTCTCGGGAAAAAGGAGTCCCTGTAGGAGCCTGGAGAAACAAGTCCAGCCCAGCAGCCTCCCTATCCCCTCGCCCACAGGGGTAGGATCCCTTTGGCTGGTGTAGGTGCAAGCACAGTTGGGCTTTTCCACAAGCATGAAGGGAGGTTTCATCATCTGCTTTGCTTCCTCCCTAGATCCTGGATGTCCCGGATGGCCACAGGGCGCCGGTGCCAGCGCAGAGAGGCTCTGGGGATGCAGCGCTGGCCCTGGAGCCCAGCAGCAGCAGCTGCTGCAGCCTCTCTCTTTCCCCGTCCCCGTCCGTGCCCCTGCGCCTTTCCCCGCACACCCCGGTGAGGCCGGCGGCAGAGGAGCTCTCCCCTGCTACGGATGAGGCGCAGATGGATCCGAAGGAGAAAGGTATCCGCCGGGATACCGGGGAGACCACGGCGCCGGGGGGGCGGCAGCCGCGGCGGCTCCTGCCTCATCCCTGTCTGCCCGCTGGGTTGGAAGCCACAGTTAAGATGCAGGAGGTCTCAGCCAATTTGGCTAAACCATAATGGACTCTTAAGGTTGTACTAATTAGCCTCCAGGTGGTGGTTTCCAGCCCCAGATGGGGGATACAAGCTGGAAATGAACCAGATCGAATGTTGTGGCTTGGGATACTGTAGACTGCAGCCTTGGGGTCTAGAAAAGCAAGCGTGGTGTTGATTTAAAGAGCTCTTTTGGTTTCTTTTAACATCTTCTCAAAAAAACCCCTGTCTTCCTTTCCTCTTAGAGGGTGGCAGCCCTTCTCCAGTCCTGGCCTTTGCTTCTTCTCCTCGGCCCAACCACAGCTACATGTTTAAACGGGAACCTCCCGAGGGATGTGAGAAAGTCCGGGCCTTTGAAGAAGCTCTGTAAGTACGAGGAGCCCTTGGCAGGGAGAGCTCGTGTGAGGCTGGCGCTGCCGCGGGTGCTGGGCTGGGGGTGCTGGGGTGGCTGCTGCTGCCTCCCCAGGTTCTAGAAAGTTGGGAAAAGGGAAACGCTCCCCAGGCAGGAATGGGGGCTGCTCGGGTCCTAATGCCAGAGCGGGCAACGCAGATCAGTGACCCTTGCACGTCCTCAGAGGGTCTTTTGGTTCCCTCCTCTTCCCAGCAGTAGTATTTTCTCCACCATTGCGGCACCTTGAACAAAAAGAGCTGGTTCTCCTATAGCTGAACGTGCTATTGGGACCAAACGGGGCTCTCCATAGTGCTCTGCAGAGCCTGTTCCGTACCAGAATGGGTCAGAAAAGCAGTGCGGCTCTTTGGAGACTGCAGAACTCCCTGTGTTCTCCTGCAGTTCCATGCCCTTGGAAGCATCCGTTCCTAATCACCTCCACTCTTCCCTCTCCAGATCCCCCAGCCCCGATCCGACTTTCCAGCCTTCCTGCCCAGACAAGAACAAAGTGCACTTCAACCCCACCGGTTCTGCCTTCTGCCCCGTCAGCCTCGTGAAGCCGCTTTTCCCCAACGTGGGCTTCCTCTTCCGGGGCTTCCCTGCTGCCTCCAGCCCTGGCACGGGCTCCTTCACGTCCTGCCCGTCCTCGGCGCCCGCCCCGTTCCTCGGCGTGCGGAAGGACCCCGCCGTCGATGGCTTCAGCGAGGCGCCCAAGTCGCCGTCGTTGAGCTACGAACACTGGAAGCGCGGCCAGTCCGACGAGAGCGGCGTCTTCCACAGCTCCCTCGTGGTGTGAAGCCCGCGGAGACGCCCGCCTTGGAGCTACGGGGATGGAGAAGGGCGGCCAGGCTTCCTCCGAGGGGGACGAGGAGCCGCGCGCCCTGGGACTCCTCGCTGCTGGGGGGCTCGTGTCGCCGAGCCTGCCCCTTCCAAGCACTTTCCTGCGTCCGCGTGTCCTGGGTGACAGCTTTGCTGGTAAAGGGCAGCGCTGGCTCCACAGGGAGCCAGGGGAATCGGCTGCAGCTTCCCGGTCCTTCTCCCCGCTGTGTCTCTCCAGACCCTGCGGAGCCCCTGGGGGGAGAAGGGACCTGCAGGGAAGCTGCTTTTGGCCAAGGCAGAGCCAAGAGGCTTCTTGAAAACATACATTGGAGCAGGCCTTGATGGGCATCTGCACCAAGGTCGCTGTGTGCCCAGAAAGCTGCTCCTGTGCCAAGGCGGCATTTGCTGCTCTGCGGCGTCTTCCCTGTGGGTGGGCAAAGGTCCTCCCGGTGCCTTGGCCTCCCTGGGGGAAAAGGAGGGATAATGGGCCCTGCTCCAGGGAGGCTGCTGCTCCAGGGGAGCTACAAGCTGCTTTCCAGCCCCAGGGCGCTGCATGGGGACCAGGCAGGAGCATCGCCCCCGGAGCAGGGACGCTTGGGGCAGGAAAGGGCCCAAATCCAGCAGCGCTGGCCCCAAACGCTGCCCTGGGCAGCACCGCGGTGACACGGGAATGGGGCTGGTGACGCCTCCGCGTGACAAAAGCGTCATTTTGTTGTGTAGCGACGGCTCAGGGTCGTCCTGGAGGAGCCCGATTCCTCCTACCTGATGTAGAAACTCTATTTTCTTCCAAAGACACTATTTTTGCAGCTGTTTGAAGTTTGTATTTTGTGTATGGGCGAGCTTGCGGGCGGGACGGTGGCTTTGGAGCTCTTGTGTTTAGAGGAGGGTGTTTTTGTTCGTTTGTTTTTGCAGATCCTGATATTGCCGATTAAAAGCAAAAAAAGAGACAGGGTCAATGCGCGGCGCCGCTTCGCTGGGCTTTAATCTTGAGGGCGGGAGCCCCGCCCACTGCCCTAACCCCGCCCATTACGTGGCTCCGCCTCCTCCCGGCTTCGTCCCGCCCACTGCGCATGCGCGCCCAGCCCCCGAGTCGCTCTGGCGACCGCCCCAACGCCGCCAGGGCGCGGGCCCCTGGCTCCGCCCTCGCGCTCCGAGCCAATCCGCGCGCTCCACA